GACGGATAAAACTTTTAGAAACGTACTCAGGAAGGTCATATTTACAATGTATCAAAACGAGAAGCCAATCGGAGGGGTCTCCCCTATTGTAAACATTTACCTTTAAAATATTGCGAAAAAAACTCCTCAGCCAGGAGTCGAACCTGGAATTTCCGGCTTTCTGGGCCGTCGCCTTCCTCTCTCACTTTTATTACAAATCTCACATATTTCATAATTATAATATATATCGATAGATAATATATTTAAATTATAATTTGTAATATTCAATTTTTATTACCTGCATTGCCGAGTTTAACCTCAACCTGACCTTCGGAGTGTACTCGACCCCCGGACAATCGCAAGGCCATGCCTCGCTGATATGCGTCTTTTATCCTGACCTTCGGTAATTTTTTCTGCGTAATCGGTGACGATAATGCATTCTCTTTCTCGTCAAACGAACAAACGACACCGGCCGCTTCGTTGCTTCCGCAGTCGGAAACACCCCATCCGTCGAAACGACATTGCGCGAGCTCGGTCTCGGTTCCGTCGCAGTAGATATTGTCCATCCAGTATCTTCCTTTGAAACATTGTCAAGGTAAATAATTGCGCGCTCGTATATACATATCATTTTTTTTTATTAATTCGATCGTTTGCCGATAAAAAAAATATGTAACATTAAATATGCAAATAACATGAGAGAAATAAAATGTTTTGTTACCGCAAATATGCAAATACAAAAAACTGACGTGATAAAAATACGGTTTTTTGTCTCGCAAAGAAATCGCGATAAACGAACCGCTTGTTAAAACGAAACGATGTTGCGCTCGTCCCGGCAGCGCGTTCGATTTGCTGTCAACCGTTAAAAAAAAAAAAAAAAAAGAAGGTGATTTAAGACGAAAAGACAATATAATGTTTTATCTCACTTCTGGCTTGACCGAAGTGGCCGTATGTCGTCGCTTTAATTGCACCGTTGAAGTCTAATTGCCTGCAAACCACGTCGGCCTCCAAGTTGTCCCATTCGTCGTCGCATATACTGCCCCATTTCCCGTTATGAAGTATTTCCACATTTCCTGCATAAAGCAATAAAATCTCGTGCTTACGCTTTTCCTGTTGCGGCGACTCGGCCGCAATAAAGAGGAAGCAATCGATTTATAAACTTTTGATTTATCACGCAGGATTCTGCGTGCACATTTGAAATTGGCTCTTAAACGAGATGCATAAACGTACTTCATATTAAGACAATGCTCTAATGGTTATTAATCGTTTGTTGCCAATATCCGTCGATATTTGATAAATTTACGCTACATATATAGATATATATTCATATACGCGGAGCGAATTTTCGATTATTCTGTAAAATACGAGTCGGTTCTTCAGAGAGTTAATAACAAAGCTCAATATTTTCAAACTGACTGGTGCACCGATTAGATTGGCAATCACTTTATTTGAAAAAGCTTTATATAACGACCGGGAATGCGTCACAGTTGCATGATCCGATAGATCCGCGTGCACGCTAGCGGGTCAATAAAAATCGCGTTACGCGACGGGAAAATAACGCGATGTCTCGTTTTAACAATATATATATACAAAGCGACGCATATTCCGTCGGCCGTGTTCGCGCTTCTATTTTACAGTGACCATGCGCTATCGATTTCGCACTGCCGACGATTCCTGGTATACCCGTACGTGACGTATACGCGTTATGTATACATGGCCGTTGACATAAATCTTCCTCGAGTTGACCTCTTTTTAATCGTCATCGCTTGTGCGCAACTTGCACAATCGCGCGATAAAACTCTCTCTCGCGCGCGCGCGCGCGCGGGCCTCGCGCTTTATCCCCCGCGAAAAAAAAAGAGGAACAAGAGATTTATAACACGTTTATATTGCAGTCGCGCTTTATCGCGGGGAAAATATCAACCTTCCCTTGTCCGAGCTTCGCTTTTAATCCGGTCGGATTTACGAGACGAAAGCGCGTCGTCGGGATGTGTGACGTCGCTACGCGGCGAAACCGATGTCACGGCGATTGTTTAATCGATCGACAAGCGATAATCGTTTCGACTTGTTGCGATTCGTCGCGGTCAGAGGATCCAGAGAGGATGCTGCGCATAATTGATCGGCGCACCAATTGAACAATAAGGCTGTTTTGTTCCGCGTACGCGTTCACAATGCACTTCCTCGACACACGCGCAACTTTACGCGCGACAGGATGTTTCATTCGATAAAAAGTCTTAATGAGAGAAGTGTTCCTGTGTGTTGCTGGTACTATCATGTTGCAATTATCATTTGTAATTTTCCTCTCCGTGACAAATCCTCGTGTAGATACAATTAAATATTCCGAAGCGCGTTACGATTGTTTTTTTGTTTTTAAACTTCGTTATTTTTACATCATTATTTTGGACTCTTTTTAGTTTTACAAAATTAATTGATTATTTTGATCTCTGTCTCGCATATAAAAAGCAAGTAAAGTCAGCACCTTCGTGATCGCCATTCTCGCCTCCCACCAGCTTCAAGGCTCCTTCCTGTTTCTTCAATTTCCGAAAGTCCTTCTTCAGCTTCTTCACTACTCTCGCTTTTCTATCACGATTCTCGACCCAAGTATCATTGTCGCTTGCGCAAAACTCAAATACGAACACTAACACTATGAAAGTTAACGTGATTCCCATTTGTCGTGTTTGCTGTTTCATTGTTTTAGGCGTCTTAACAGTTTTAATCCACCAGTCTTGTTGTAATTTATTGCAATATCCCGTCTGCAAAAACAATTACACGTACAATACAAATTTAAGAATTTAACGAATCAATTAAAACAAATTTTTTCTTGAACGTATCGAAGGGGAGGACCTTTTTTATTTTTTAAGGAGTCTATTTACTGAATGTGCGAACAAAAAATCGTGATTTTGAACATTAAATATCTCAAAAATGGCATATTGACAAAAAATGCACATAAAATTTTAACTGTTACAAGAAATATAATTACTTGAATTTGATGCGGTTCGCAGCATAATGAGTTTTCAGTGAATAAACTCCTTAATATAACAGATCTGCGTACACTCGTTCTTTTTTTTTTTTCTTTTTTTTATATCGCACACTTCTCCGAGACTGTCATCTTTTGTTACGGATTATTCAAAAAAAGTGAAAAAAGATTACATCGCGTCGTTATCGCGCACGCACATTTCGCCTACAATTCGCAACTGATCGCAATGCGATGCGTTCGCTTCTCGACTCGTAACGCGCTCATCATGACGGTTTATATGATCATCAACGGTCCAGATGGCGGATCGCTATTCTTTTTCCGCATCGCCGGTCTCTTCCTGAGAGCGATTCGTTTAGCCTCGATGACCCGTTTAAGTCAGCTGTTGACGCGATTAGAATAGCCATGATGATGATATCCAATCGCCGACAAAAAATAGGACTTCGTAGGAAAGATCTTCTCCTCACGATCTTCTCGCTTTGCGATCTCCTTTGATATTTGATCTTTATGTTTCGCGCGAGAATGAGGCAAAGCCTTAAATGTAGCTCAAAGTTGTAAACTGGGTCGTAAGTAAGTTTATTTTCTACTTGGACAAGTTGTGTCAAGTATGAAATGAGATAAATGCGAGAGAGAATTAAAAGAATTATTAAAAAACAAATGTGTTAGAGAAACATTTTCGTGATTACATGACAATTTGGAAAAAGTCTCATTAAAAGCGGCGCGCGTTGAGAAATTCTTTTTTTCTTCGGCTTACGAATTTATCAAATTTTTTGTCGGTTGAAAGAAAATCAACTGTTTGTTATCGGAAACACTTTTTTCCGGGGCACACCGGGGCGCGTGGGCGACAGCGAAAATTCGCGTCGGTCGAAATGTCTGATTTCGCGATGGATGAACCATGTGATCTACAAGTATGATTTATACTGGCGTGCACTTGGTTCGAATCAGCCGTTTATAACGTTTTCACTTCCCAAGCGCGTTGCGACGTATTGTTCCGTCGTAGATGAGATTCAACTAGTTTAACCCTCAATTACTACGCTTAAATTTGGATAACTACTGATGAAGTCACGTTGACCCCATTAATAAATTACGTTAATGATACTTATTGGTAGAAAGCTAAATCAACTTTCATTACTTGTTATCCTCTCTCGTGCTCGACATCCCACTAACATCCGTACGATCGCATTACACGTGTTAGAATAAAAATAATCTCACGACACACAGTTGTGTGAGTGCTGTTCACAATTTTAAATGCGCTATCAGATTTTTATCATTTGCGAATTCATTTCGTTCTGTCTCATGTTTTTTTTTTTTTTTTTATCAGTTGTTTCAATGATACGCACATCCTGAAAAAACGAACGTATTGAACACATATTGTTCTTGGTTCTTATAAATAATGATGTTATTCGTAATGATGAGTAAAATTAATTGGATTTAGAGAATGAAATTTTAGAAAGGCTCAGGCGCGAGAAACTTGCGCGTTCTATTATTCAATACGTCACGTCGGCCTCGGGTATCATTTGTACACAGTTGTTGCGCAATCATCGTCAGACCGCACTATTATTTTATCAAATAAAACACTATGCGGACAAGTTCTCTATTGCGTTGATCGACGTAATTAATAAGACACATGTAGCGTATTGAGTTATAAGTAATCGGATATATGTTATATTTTTATTTGTTAATCCTATTGTTAGTATTCAAGAATTAACATTCAAGCATTAATCCTAACATATTAAAGATGACGTAAAGTTTTATGTTTTTCATCATTTGAGTACGCTATTTTAATATTTATTTAAGCGTTTCTTCGAATTATTTCATACATGTGTCTTATAATATATTTTATTATATTAAAAAAAATACAAAGTGTGTTTATATTTTTATTACATTTTATGTAATTTTGCTCCTTAACCTTTCAGTGGCAGATACGGGTCTCTGAGATCTCTATCTAAAAATTTAAAACCGGTGTCTCTATTAAGTATTAATTTAGCGCAACATCTGAAGACCATGAAAAAAAAACTTTGGAGCCTCAGACAATGGTGGAAGTCGTTGACAGCGTCCTTCGTTTAATAGTTTTGCAAAGTTTGAATTTTGAAGTGCGAAAAAAATCTGAGAGACCCAAGTCTGGACAAGACGTTGGCATCTCGAAAAGTAAATTTTTTTTCCAGTTTGAGCACTTCTAATATATTAAAAAATGGTTGTTTTTTAATAATTTTATCAAAATATATGTACATTTATAGTGATTTATTAGGTCATGGCGCACACAGAAACGTTTCAAACGTTTCTTTGAAACTACTAGAGATTTTTTCAACTTGTTTTTTTTTTGTCATCGCAGAATCGTTTAAATTTTCTATTTAAAAAAAGAATACGTCTAAATATTGATTTAATGCTAAAATATTACATGTCAAAGTTGAGCGCTAGAAAAATGCATTCTTTCAAATAACATCCCAAAAAAACCCATTGTGAAATTGTTTTTAATTTTACAATTTTTAGAAGACACTTTTGTTTCTAAAAGTACGAACAAGTCCGTAGAAAACTGCGTTGGAATTTTGTAAAAATCTTAATTACACAAAAAGTTATGAATTTTTAAACAAAAAGTTTTTTCGAAAAAAAAAATTTTCAGGTTTTTCTTTAAACGCTTATATCTTCAAAACTACTGGAGAGTTTTTCAATCTGTTCCTCTTGATCGACGCAGAATCGTTCAACCTTTCGATTAAAAAAAAGAAATTGAAAATATTGATTTTTTGCGAAGATATTTGAACTTAAAGTCGCGTGGATCTCACAGACCCAGTCTAGAGACAACTTGTAGATCATTGTTTATGCTTGGCATTTTGAAGGGTTAAATATAAATAAAAAAGTGCCGTTGTTTATATCGTCACTATAATTGAAGAGCGTCATAAAGAAAGTAGGTCTAAACTTGTTTGTTTGTCGAATTTTTAGTATAATCGTAGCTTGACGTTTATTGTTGATTCACGTAAGAGAAAAGTAGAGAAAAACCAATACAAAAAAATTCATACAATTCGTGTAAGGCTTTTAACACGCTTCATTCCGTGGTGTAATCGCGCGGATAAACGCGTGGCGAAGCAATTATCGTATGCTATTAGTGAAAACGTCGCCTACGGCTGAATTCTTGACATACTTTGTCAGGCACTTTTAACGTTGAGGAATTGAAGGAAGCGTTTATCTCATGATAAACGATTCAAAAAAATTTCTCAAATAAGATTAAGAAAACTCTCAACAAACTCAAATAAAAATACCAACGCAAGATATTCAGATGCAACAATTACATCTGATAAGAGACCAAACAACAATTTAAACGTTTTTGATCTTTCGCTTTAGATTCTTTTTTTGATAAATTGGTCGATAGGAGAGAGAGTTAGTAATAACGAATTATTTTTTTTTGTTTTTGAAGATGTCAGTCTGAAGGTATTGCATCTATAGAAACGAGTGCATCCTGAGCTGAATATTATCAGTATTCAATCGATATACGAACACGAGCCTATTCGGTTGACAGTGCGAACGCGATGTATTCGATGAGTATCGGAGTGACGCAACTAGCTGAATATAGAGAAGCGAAAGTGGAGCGATTTTTTATCGTCCCACGACAGTGGACATCATAAATCGTGATCGTATGTGCGATGGCACGAACAGGTGTTGATGCAGCTATTGGCTCTTGTCTTCCGACAATACAGACGAGTACCGATCGCAATTGCCGATGCACTTAATTAAGCGCGCGGCATCGTTTCATAGCTCGTCGAGGTGTTCGATTTGTCCGCTTGATGCGTACGCTTAATTTAATAATTACGCTTTTTTTTTTTCTTTGTCGTTCGATGAAACCAGAAAAAAAACTGCGATGTGTCTAGAAAAAGAGAAGAAATAATTGCAAAAATCTTTATTTTTGTAAAGAATTGCTTTTATTTTAATAATATTATTTTTATTTAGCGATTTTTCTTATAACATACAAAGCAAAATATGTGTGTACTCTCTCTCTCTCTCTCTTAAATTTTCAAAGTTTTTCGTTATTACACGTGTAGCAGAGACAGTCCATTAAAATTGCGGTGGAGTGCGCTGAAATTAAAATTGAACGTGACAGGTGAAAAGTTGTTGATTGAGTTGATATGTTTGCAAATTGGATTTTAAAAAGTAGTTACGCTCTTCACATGGTCGATCGAAAACTTGTAATTTATTTTTTTGTTGTTGCACAAATCTCTCTCGTGTTCACGCAGAACGCGCACATATGTACAGATTGGTGCGATATACGTGTCAAAAATATCAGAGATTACGCACACCCAGTAAACACAAAGTAACGTAACATTAACGTTAAGTAATTTTCCACTTAACAATGTAACTGCTACGTACAAGGAATTTTACATCGCAGTCACATTGGAGGAGGAGTGGGAAATTTATAACATTATAACGTTACGTTACTTTTTGTTTACTGGGTATATTATTTTTCTGTGTCATTTGTGTCACTTGTTATCGAGTATTTACGCGTAAAAACGCGTTTGTTTCTCAGAAGTTGTTGAAATATTTATTGCGCCGAATCATCTGTAGTATGGTTTGGTGCAAAATTGGCTCAGTGGACCGAGTTAAGTTAGTCCATACGCCATTCTAGAATATAAAGAATACACAAAGACTACTATAGCACAAAACATACGCTATGCTTTGCTTTGCTTAAAATAAAAAAATTATGTTGTCAACTGAAGAAGACCGAGAAAAACGATACTTCAGTGACGACGGTTACGTTGGAACTTCATCTGTAGTATCGCTTTGTGATCTTTGACGTTTCAACACACAGGCGATTTCGCGTGTGCTTGAATTTCGCGCGACAGCTTCCGGTAGCGAGCTGCGGTATCGCTTCTACAATCGATAGACCCGCAAGACGGGGAAAATCTACCACGCCCAATAGTAGCCGTCGTAAATTCTTGCTCCTCGTGCGCGCATGCGCCCGATTGGCGCGTTCGCGCGATTGAAAGTGCGTCGAGCGTCGTCTGCGCATCGTTTCGTATAAACCGCGCCGCGTTCTTCCCATTCCCTTCGTCTCCCTACTTTTAACCGCTCTCAACTGATCGCGCCTCACTTCGGAGCCGGAGTTCCTGTTGGCAGATCAGTCGGGTCTCGTCCATCGAGCGGAGCAGTGCGTTTCGGCGCGTAGTGACATTAAGAACACACGACGCGACGAGAGAGCGCGGGTTATATACGTTTTGGACCACGATTCACGTTTACGAACGCTCGTTCGTTTATTCAGTCGCCCGATAGCTCTCGACGACGCTCGTTGTGTCGCTTGCACCGTCAACCGTCAGGATCACATCGCGCGCGTGTCCCGACAGGAAGGAAGGAAGGAAGGAAGGAAGATAAGTGGGAGGGTGGCGGCGCGTCTCTCAGAGGGGGAAGAAGAAGCGCACCTCGTGGGTCTCGTGCGGTGGATCGTGGTCCGCGAGACCGGAGGCGCAGCGTGTGGTCGGCCATTGTGCTTTCTTCGGCCTGCCGATAGGTACGACAAGCCGACGTTGCTCCGCTGTCAGTCGGTGCTGGCTATACCGGGTGAAGGAACAAGAGAAACGTATATATATATATATATACATGTCGCAGATCGCAACCGGTTAGCTTACTGCCTCGAAGAGCCGGCCGACTCGAGCGGGT